TAGACTTCAAAGTAAAACTACTCAGAAAAGATAAGGAAGGTCACTTCATTCTGATCAAAGGTACAGTTAACCAAGAAGATATTACAATCCTTAACATATATGCACCAATCTCTGGCGCACCCAAATTCATAAAAGCAACACTGCAGGACTTTAAGACACAGATTTACCCCAACTCAGTAGGGGACTTCACCTCACTGTCTCCATTAGGTCAACTGGACAAAGAATAAACAGAAGTCTGAATTAAATGATACCATACATCAAATGGACCTAACAGAAATCTTTTGAATATTCCACCCAAGCACCAAAGAGTATACTTTCTACTCAGCACCCCATGGAACTTTTTCAAAAATTGACCACATACTGAGGCACAAAACAAACCTCAACAAATACAAAAAAATTGAAATAATTCCTTGCGTTCTATCTGCCCACAATGCAATAAAGCTCAAAATCAACACTGGACAAAGCCCTAGTCACTACACAAACTCATGGAGATTAAACAACACACTCCTAAACAATGAGTGGGTCAAAGGAGAAATTAAGAAACAAAAGAGTTCGTGGAATTCAATGAAAAGGACAACACAACACAACCTCTGGGACACATTAAAAGCAGTCCTAAGAGGGAAGTTTATAGCTCTAAGTGCCTACATTAAAAAATTAGAAAGAGGGCTGGAGAGATGGCTTAGCAGTTAAGAGCACTGATTATTCTTGCAGAGGACCCAGGTTTGATTCCCGGCACCCACATGGTGGCTACGAACTGTCCTTAACTCCAGTTCCAGGGGAATCCAAAGCCCTCTTCTGACCTCCGAGGCATTGCACAGCACGGTGCACTCACATACATTCAGTCAATAAAATCATACACATAAAATAAAAATAGTAAAATATTTTAAAACAAGAATCAAGAAACCAAATGACCCAATGAAAAGGTGGGCTAAAGGTCTAAACAGAACTCTCAAAGGAAGAAATAAAGATGGCTAAGAAACATCTCAAAAAGTGTTCAACATCGTTAGTAATTAGGGAAATGCTAATTAAAACCACCCTAAGGTATCACCTTACCCCAATCGGACTGGCTAGGATCAAGAGAACAGATGATACCAAATGCTGGCGAGGATGTGGAGAAAGGGGGACACTCATTCACTGCTGGTGGGATTGCAAACTCGTACAACCTCTGTGGAAAACAGTGTGGAGAACTCTTATAAAACTAAAATTGAACCTACCATATGACCCAGTTATACCACTCCTTGACATATACCAAAAGGACTCATCCTGTTGTAGAGACACTTATACAACCATGTTTGTTGCTGCTCTTTTTGCAATAGCTAAGAGATGGAAGCAACCTAAGTGCCCCAAAACTGACAAGTGGTTAACAAAAATGTGGTAT